TGTGTCCACACCATACCCGTGTCGGGTTTTTAGCCTTTTTTGTAATTTTCTTATGGTAAACTAGCAGATCTGATCCTCCATCTTTTATAAGATGAGCACTTTAATTTCATAATTTAAAATTCATTCATTTAGATCCCAAAAAGGAACCTCTCTTGTTGCAATTTAATCCCTCAACTTTCAAAAATATTCAATTAATCTCAAAAACTCATATTATTATGCATTCAAGTCTTTTTTACATAAAAAATGAAAACTATATAAAAATTATTGAAAATACATATTGTCTATATAAATAATAATAAAATTAAAGTTAAAATAATATATTAAAACATATAAAATGCTACTCATCAACAACCTTGAAGGATGATGGTGGCCTTGAAAGATGATGGCGAACCTGAAAGACAATGGATTGGGTTTGGCTTCAGGTACTTCACCATTGCTTACTCGGTTTCTAACACCCAAATCCTAAGGATCACCTTTTTATTCCTTTTTTTTTTTTCTGTATAAATCAAGAAATGGTTGATAAGAAGAAATTCGAGTCCTTTAAATTTGGTACATATTTATTGGTTTATTATTATTATTATTATTATTATTTTGTTTCTTGAGTTTTTTCTGTGCCTCTCCTTTTGTATTTCTCTAAATTTCTACATTTGTTTTCTTACCCTAATATGGGTTTTTTTGGTTGTTTCTTTTTCTTTTGCTCTTTTTTGCTTAAGCATTCTTGGCTTGGGTACTGGATGTAGGATTTTTTTCGTATCATTGATCTTGGATTTTATGGTTAAGCAGCCATTGAAACTATTAGAGGAGGTGACATTGCTCAAGATTTTGGGAATAAATTTGATTTGGAATTGAAATGTGTAAAGGAACTAGGAGAACAAATTTGCTGTGAAAATTTTTGTGAAAATTTAATTTTGTAGAGGAATTGAAAGAACAAAATTTTACGTTGAAAATGGTTAAATTTTTATATAAAATTTATGTTTCAAAAGTCAAAAAAATTACCTTAAAACTATTAAATTTAATTAAAGGGAATAAATAATTAAATATTATATATTAAATGGGTCCAGAAAAATTATTATGGTAGTTTAATATTTTTTTTGCCCACATTATCATTTTTTTCAGTGCATTTCCAACTCATTTTGTGGAGAATAATATAATTTTTTTGTCAACATTATCAATTTTTTCTTACATGGCATTTGCATGTCTCTTTTATGAAAAAAAATAAACTTATTCTCTTAATTTTTTTTTAACAAAGTATTACGAGGTTCGAATCCAACCCTAAAGAAGGAGAATTGTACTTTTATATGATGGCAAAAACCACTCGGCCAATGGATCAACTACAACTTGTTCTCTTAATTAACAAACCATCTCAGTAAAAAGATAATGAAAATACTAAAAAATGATTAAAAGGTGAATTTTAGGATTAAGAAAAATTTCTTAAGCATAAGGGCAAAATTTT